TAGAAGACAGGATTGTGGTTAGAGATCATGAAAAGGAAGACTTCTTAAAAACAGCAAGGGACTACAAAAAATTAATCCATCCAATAGCTGCTAGATGATGCAAAGGAGACTAACATAAGATTGATTAGAGTCAATGAAAAAGCAGGAGATAGTGAAAAATCACATAAAAACCTGTTCACAGAAGTAATGGCACAAAACTTCCCAGACAAGGAAAAGGCATTTGACATACAGATAAGTGAGGCATATAGAACTCTAATTTGCCATGATTATCCAAGGCATGTATAGTAGAAATTCCAGAAATTCAACACAGGAACAGAATATTAAAAGCTGTTAGAGAAACAAATCACACATAAGGGAAAGCCCATCAGAGTCACAGTAGATTGCTCAGTACAAAACTTCAAGTCAAGGAGAGTTTGGAGTTAAGGATTTGAAAACAACCTCCAATCCAGATTGATGTACCTTGCAAAACTATCTTTCAAAACTGATGGAGAAATAAAATACTTGCATGACAAAGAACACCTGAAAAAATGCATAAGCACCAAACCAGTACTCAAAAATGTTTTGAAGGACATTCTAGAAAGACATAAAGAGGACTACAACCCCATGAATCCCAACAGAATGAATCCACCAGGTAAGGCCAGCCATTAAACAGAGAGGGGTAAGAAAGAGAACCAACAACAGGAAAATAACATGACAAAGATAAGTCAGTGGATATCAGTTATATCATCAATGTAAATGATCTCAATTTGCCAATTAAAAGAAACAGACTAGCAGAATGGATCAAGAAGCAAGATCCAACAATATGATGCATACAAGAAACACATATAATTCAGAAAGAAATTCACAGACTGAAAGTCAAAGTATAGAAAATGATACGCCATGTGACAGGAACCTAGACAAAAGCAAGGGTAGCTGTTCTATCTGCAGACAAAGTGGATTTCAAGCCAAGACTGATTAAGAGAGACAAAGAAAGTCACCAAATTCTTTAAAGGAAACAATCCAAGAGGAAAAGATAACAATCTTAAATATATATGCACCAAATACCAGCACACCCAACTGTATAAAACAAATATTAACAGACATGAAAAATCAAGTAGGCACTAATAGAGTTGTAATGGGGGACATCAATAGCAACAAAGAAATATCAGAACTGAACCAAACTTTTGAACAAATAGACTTAGTAGATGTCTACAGAGTGTTTTACCCCACAACATCAGAATACACATTCTTCTCAGCTGCACATGGGATGTTCTCCAAAAAGACCACATACTAGCTCACAGAATATGCTTGAGTAAATACAAAGGAATTAAAATTATTAGATGCAGGGCTAGGGATTTAGCTCAGTGGTTCCACTGCCTGCTTCGCAAGTGTAAGGTCCTGAGTTCAATCCCTGGTACCAGAAAAAAAAATGCATACTCTCAGACCATAGTGCAATGAAATTGGAAATCAATGGCAAAAGAAACCACAAGAAGTTCACAAACACATGGAAATTAAATAACACCCTCCTAAAAGAACAATAGATCACAGATGAAATTAAAGAAGATATTAGACAATTTCTATAATTAAACAATAATGTCCATACAACATACTGAAACAGGTTGCAATGAAAGCAGTCCTACAAGGAAATATATAGTGGTGAATTCTCATATCAGAAAAATTGAGCAAGGTCAAATAAATAAATAACTGCTAATGTTGAACCTCAAGCTTCTAGAAAAAAGAAGGGCAAGTCACTCACAAAGCTCATATGAGGGAGGAAATTATAAAATCGGGGCAGAAATGAATGCAATGGAGACTAAGAAAACAATAAAAAGAATTGATAAATTGAAGAGTTGGTTCTTTGAATAATTAAATAAAATTGACAAACCCTTAGCAAATCTTATCAAAAAATGAAAGAGGGCCCAGGATTTAGCTCAGTGGCACAGTGGTACCACTGCCTGCCTCACAAGCACAAGGTCCTGAGTTTGATCCTCAGTACAAAAAAAAAAAAAGACTCAAACCCATGCAATTAGAATGAAAGGGTGAAATCACAACAGATTCTGCAGAAATTCAGAAGATCAATAGCTACTTGAGAACCTGTACTCTAATATAATAAGATGAAAAACACAGGAGAAATATATCCTTAGATATATATGAATTACCAAAGCTGAATGAAGAAGATATAAAAATTCTGAATAAACCAGTATCAGTCAGTGAAATTGAAGATATAATTAAAAACCTACCAACAAAGAAAAGGCCTGGCCCTGATGGATTCACTGCTAAATTCTATAAGAAATTTAGAGAAAACCTAATGCTGCCACTTCTCAAACTCTTTAAAGAAAACGAAAAGGAAGCAACACTCCCAAATTCATTCCTGGAAGCAAGCATTACCCTGATACCAAAAGCAGAGAAGGATCCAACCAAAAAAGAGAATTATAGGCCAGTCTCCCTAATAAACATAGATGCAAAAATCCTGAATAAGGTACTGGCAAATAAAATGTAGCAAATCACCAAGAAGGTTATACACCTGACCGAGTAAGTTTCATCCCAGGGATGCCGGGATGGCTCAACATACACAAATCAATAAATGTAATAAACCATACTAAGAGGGCAAAGGACAGAAACAATATGCTCATCTCAATAGATTCAGAAAAAGTGTTTGACAAAGTCCAACACCCATTCACAATAAAAAAAAAAACCTACAGAAAATTGGAATACATGATCTTTATCCAATCTGAGAAAAGCCACCCATGACAAACAAGCAGCCAACATCATACTAAATGGACAAAAACTGAACACTTTTACTCTAAAGTCAGGAACAAGACAAGGATGGACATGACCGTTCTTGTTCAAGGTAGTCCTGGAAACATTAGCCAGAGCTATTAGACAAGAGAAGGAAATAAAAGGAATAAGAATAGGAAGGGAAGACATTGACTTATTATGTGAGAATAACCATGATACTCTACACAGAAGACCCCAAAAACTCCACCAAAAGATTTCTAGAAATTGAGTAGCATGGTCAGATACAAAGTCAACACTCAAAAAACAGTAGCATTCCCATATGCAAATAACAAACTCACTGAGAGAGAAATTAGGGAAACAACCCCTTTCACAGTAGCATCCCAAAAAGAAAAATGAAATACCTAGGAATCGATCTAATGAAGGAAGCAAAAGAACTCTACATTGAAAACTACAGTACACTGAAAAAAGAGACTGAAGAGGATATTAGAAAATGGAAAGATAACCCTTGTTCTGGAGTAGGAAGCACCAATACAGTGAAAATGGCCATACTTCCAAAATTGTTATACAGATTTAATGTAATCCCGATGAAAATACCAACAGCAAGCCTCCCTCACAGAGTTAAAGAAAATAATCCTTAAATTCATTTGGAACCAGAAAAGACCTAGAATACTAAAGGCAACTTTGGGCAACAAAGGCAAGGCAGAGAGCATCACAATCTCAGACTTGAAATTATACTACAGAGCTACCGTGATAAAAACAATGTGCTAATGGGGAACAAAACAAAACAACAGCAGACAACAAAACCCTCATAACATTGGAACTATCACAAAGAATCAACAACTCGATCTCATCTTTTTAAAAAGAAACGAAAAACAGAGCAGAGAAACAAAAAAACACCAATAGAGTAAAGAGACAACCCAATGTGAGCCAAAGTTTTGCCAGCTGTTGTTCAGACAAAGACTAATGTGTAGAATAATACAGAACTCAGAGAGACCCAGATCCCCCAAATTTAGACACAATCCAAAAAGCGGGCATCTGATGTGAACATACACTTTTCAGACAACGAAGTACTAGTGGCACATAAATATATGAAAAATGTTCAATATCACTAGTTATTTGAGAGATACAAATTAAAACAAGGCTGAGATTCCCTCTCCAGAAAGAATGGCTGCTGTCAAGAAATCAGCCAATAACTAGTGCTGGTGGGGCTGTGGAGGAAAAGGAACCCTGCTCCACAGCTGGTGGGAGTGCAGACTGGTGCAAACACTGTGGAAATCATGTGGAGATTCCTCCAAAAACCAGAATTAGAGGCTCTACTCGACCCAGCTACTCCCCTTCTTGGTGTCTTCCCAAAAGAATTAAAAGCATCATACCACAGTGATGTATGCGTACCCATGTTTATAGTGGCACAGTTTGTAATAACTAAAACTTGGAAACAGCCCAAATGTCTATCAACTGATGAATGGGTAATGAAGATGTGGATTTATATACAATGGAACACTACTCTGTCATAAAAAAGGAAACGCTGGAGACATTTCTAGCTAAATGGATGCACCTTGAGAACATACTCTTAAGTGAAACAAATTGGATACACATGTGTAGATACCACATTGTTTCCCTGGTGTGAGGAACCAAACGTGTAAATAAGGACCAAAGTGTGTAATAGATATTGGGAAATGGGAAGAAAATGTTCAAGTGAGAAGTGGAACGGAGAGGGGGAGGACAAGAAAAAAAGAGAAATGAAGGGAAAAATTGAAACAGCTTTTGTAAATAAGGAGGCAAAGAAGGGTTAAGGGGAGGGCAATGGGGAAATAAAGAAGAGTCAAGATTTATCAAGTGCAGGTACAAATTCCCTATGATGAATGTGATCATTGTGTATATCTAATATGTACCAATTTTTTAAAGGAAAAGAAAGTGCATAATAGAGTTAACCTGCAGATCTACCAAGCCCCAGCTCTGTAGCATGCTTCCACTGAACAGTCTGACCTAAGAAGTCACCTCTTCCTCCTGACAGCTGATCACTCTCAGGTGGGTGAGGCTGCCGAGCACTTATAGTACGGCTTTGGGCTCTTTTTGTCATTCCATGACAATATTTGTTAAACGAGTGAAGTTTTAAGAGCATCTACACAGAAAAACAATCAATGCCTGGGAGCTATGTGGCAGTGTCCTGCTGTCCCAGGCTGGGCATCGTGAACACCCTCAGGCCTAACAAGGCTGTTTTCAGTTCCGCAGCCCTGCGGCTCCATCAGCACAGGCAGAACAGCATGCAGATGAACACATACCCACTGCTTCAGCACCATCCCCTTCATGGACTCTGTGAACGTGACAGCAAACCTGGGGAATGAACAAAAATAGTGGAAACGATCAAGCTGGAATTCAATTAGTGGAACTGTGAAATAGCTCTTTGGAACAAGTTATGAGAGACAGGGTAAGACATGAAATTTAAGGTGCAATCAATCGTTATGACTCGTGGTCACTGACCATTAGGTTGAATCTCTGTTCACATCACCAAATAAGTTGTGCATGCCAGAAGTAAACCAAACAATGCTCGAAACTTTCTGTCTTTCTTGCTCCTTCCATGTAGGGTCAGAGAAGGAGGGACAAATTTTTGAAAAACAAAAAGCAAGATGTAGGAGAATGATGTGGTTTTTATATTTGGGTGTTCCCCAAAACCTCATGGGCTAAGGGGCAGGGTTTTTAAGAGGTGATTGGATTACGGGGTCCACAGCTGGCTTGGTGTTGGAAGAGGAGGGTCACTGGGGCATGGCCTGGAAGGGTCATCTCCCTCCCTGGCTCCTCCCTTCTCTCCCTGCTTCCTATCCTCCATGAGGTGAGCAGCTCTCTTTCACCAGGCCCTCCCAGCATGGCCCCCCTGCTTGAGGCCAATCAACTATCACTAAAAACTATGAGCCAAAATGAGTCCCTCTTTTAAGTTGTGTTTAGTATTTCATCTTAGCAAAAAGAAAAGTGACTAAAACAGAAGCAAGGCCCTCACCCATCCACCCTCAGCTTGCCAGAGAAGGTGACCCGCCCATGAGCTTCACAAAGGAAGGCTGGGCCATGCGCCGACCTGCTGAGGGCGCCACCAGCAACTGCCCCTGCATCTCATACAGGGGGCTCTGTAGCAAACATGCAGAGCACCAAAGTAAGGTGAAGGTGATCTACTTATTCAGTATGTCTTTGTCATAAGTGTAGGAAGATTAGCAGAAAATGTAAAGCACATCCCTAGATAGGAATAGTACAAAGATGTTCTTTTTCATCAAATTGGATGACAAATGCAGTAACACTTCAAACAAAATCCACAAGTGAATTTCCATTGGAAGTTGACAAAATAATGATAAAATTCATATGTGTAGCTGGGCATGGTGGCATATGCCTGTAATCCCAGCACTTGGGAGGCTGAGGCAGGAGGACTGCCATGAGTTCAAGGCCAGCTGGGGCTACATAGCGAATTCAAAGGCAGCTTGAACTACATAGCAAGACCCTGTTTCAAAAACCAAAACAAATATTAAAAAATAAAAAAGTTCATATGTGTAATGAGGTAACAAGCTCCCCAAAAACTCTGATAGAAGAATTCAGAGATGGGACATATTCAAAGTCTAATAATTAAGACAGTATTGACAATAAAGAGAAAGACACTGTAAAGATGAGATAGAGTTGATAATACAAGATCAAGAGCCTGTTTGAATGTGTCCCCTTAAGCCGCAAGGAGAACATGTTCTGGCCAAGGTCAAGGAGACCTCTGTGTTGATGGCCCCGATGGCTCCAGCCCCACCTGCCAACGTGCCCTGACAGTAGCATGGGACACAGATGGCCTCTCCTTCCCCCTTGACACACCATTCATTAAGTGGTCCCCAAGATGTGGTCCTGTCCACCTCTGGGCACTGGGTCTCTGCCACCCCCCAGCCCCCTTCATGTCTCTAAGGGGTGCTCAGGGACTTCTCCCAACTCCCAAAGAGCTAATGGCACCAATGTGCTGAGCAACTCCCTGCTTTACAAGTCCTGGCACCCACACCCACACCTTGCATGCCCTCTACACTCTTCCCTCCTCTCTTGAGTGCCTGGAACACACCACCAGCTTAGCAAATACAACACGAAGACCTCGCATCTCCAGGTCCAGAGACCAGATGAGTAGGTTACATGTGCACATTCCCAAGCTCCTGCTAAGAGAGCCTAGAATAAACAACACCCATGAGCAAGAGCACAGATCTTGGCTTCTAAATACATTCTCCTAAAGGAACAAGACATCCTTTGAGAAGCGGCTGTTTGTAGAAGCAGGACAAAGTGTAGCTGGATAAACCAGGGACATCTTACAGGAAGTAGGAATGTGCTCAAAAAGAAGGGCCAGATCAGCAGGACCCAGGGACCATGTCCAACGCACCCAGGGGCCAAATCTGGGACAACTGAACACCAAAGTGAAAACCAGGAATGGGTATCCACAGAAGGAAGTGAAATAAAGATCTGGTAGGGTGCACATCTAGATGGCCCCCCAGAGCCATAGGTGGCTTTGGGGCCGTGATTGGGTCATGGGGTGTGGCTGACTCCTCAGTCAGGAGGACAGGCTACGAGAAGATTAGTCTACCCCTGGGTCTGTAGCTGGGTGTGATGTTGGGGGTGGAGCTGCTTGGAGGAGGTGGGTGCTGGGGCGTAGCCTGGCAGGGTCTGTCTCCCTCCTCTTCCCTGGATCTCTCCCTACTTCCGGGAACCATGCCAGGGACTGTTTCCCCTCTGCCAGCCCCTCTGCCACACTGCCCTCCCTCAGAGCCAGCCAACTGTGGACAGAAACCTCTACATGCTGTGAGCCAAATAAACCTCCTCCCTTAACTTGTAGGTGTCGGGTATTGGGTATTGTGTCGAAGTAACGAGCAAGTAAATAATGTATGAGTCCATGTTGCTATGAATAAATCATTGAATATGTAAGTGCAGTTTAAGGGGCAACTCCTCACAGTGGTGGAATGGAGAAGGTGCAGTGCCACCAGGAAATCACCATTAGGCAAATATCGCAGGGATAATCTCTGCGGGGAAAGAACCATTCAAGGAGGGAGATGATCTGAAAGCGTGGTTCCTCCCCAGGAGGTGCTGCTGCTTCTCTCTGCCTCCTTCAATCCTTCTCTGCACACGGCAAGAACAAGCAAGGAGGGGCAGAGCTCACCAGACTCACACTGGGACCATGTCGCCCTCCGGGCCAGGACTGACCCCTTGGCATCGGTTAGGGGTTGCTCCCTACTCCTTCTAAAAATGGAGAGGAGAGCAAATGAGCCTAATTCGAAGCGGGTAAACACTGTCCTGCAACAGTAGGATAAGAGAAAAGTCCTAATTAACACCTGATGGGGCTGGGGATGTAGCTCAGTGGCACCTCACCTGCCTTACAAGCACAAGGTCCTGAGATCTATCCCTAGTACTAGAAAAAAAATCTAAATAACACCTGCTAAGGGAGAGAAGCTTGGGGAGCGTGGGAACTGGGGAGCTTCAGAACCCAACAGGCCAGTAACGCTGCTTCTGCAGCTCCGGCCAGTGCTAATACCCAAGAGAAGCCCTCTGCTGCCGACTTCTACAGGGACTGATGCCACTTCCTGACTTGTGCCTGCATCAGATCCCTGCAGGCCAGCTAACAGAGGACTCACAGCCTTAAACTTGCCAGAGAAACTCAAGCCCCCAAGAGGAGAGGCGCTGCCACAGCATGTCAGTGACACAAACCATGCATCTTGTCCCCAGACGCATCTGTAGCTAATGCCCAGGGATACATTTGCAACAAGCTAAACTGACAAATGTGACAAGGCGGTTCCCTGGCTTCCTGTGGGAAGGGTGGCTCTCCGGAGCGGGGACATGGCTGTGTTCACGGCTCTGTGCCCAGCCCCACAGCAGTGCCAGGCACCTAGCAGTCAGCGGGATCCATCCAGATCAGAGGAAAGCACAGGGACAAAGCCAGGCAGGGGAAGCGGGGAGAGGAGGGGAGGGGAGGGAAGGGGACAGGGAGGGTGGGAAACCCAGGCCAGTACCAAGAGGTGACCGGAGGAAGGGAGGGAGAGGATGGATGGGCAGCATGTGTGCATATGTGTCTGTGTGGTCACTGCTGTCCCCATGGAGACCCCAGGCTTTAGGACATACTATGTCATGACCAGGGAGGAGGAGGGCAGGGATGAGGGTCTCGAAAGGCTTTTACTGCGAAGGCAACTTGAGTGAAGAGGATGGGGTGACGACTGCAGGGGACCAAACATTTGGCTTAGTCCAGAGCTGCAGGCAACATGATTGTGCCCAAGCGAGGACAGGCCAAGAGGCCCTACCCCGAAGCCTGGGAAGAGAGGAAATTAACACCTTTCTCATGATAAATACAAAACCACTACTTTTTTGCTGTTGATTGAATATTGCCATTTGAAAACAGGCTTATTCACTTCGATACATGATTCTCTTGTCAAAAACATCCTTGTAATCTGAGCATGATAGTGCATGCCTGTAATCTCAGTACTCAGGAGGCTGAGGCAGGAGGATTCCTGTGAGTTCAAGGCCAGCCTGAACTACATAGAGACCGTGTCTCAAAAACAACAAAACAAATAAAAATCTTTAGTCAAAATGTAGCTCACATAGGAAGTCACAAATGTTCAGCTATTTTTAACCTGCAAAGCAGCAAATATGCATAGTTTAACCTAACATGTGCTACATATTTCCTAACTGTGAAACTATTTTTGAGGTACTTCATTTCATGCTCATTTGTTTGTTTGTTGAAAAATGTTAAGTTTCTTTCAATGTGCACCTGGATGACCCTTTACAAAACAATCTCCTCAAGTTTCAAGTTCTCTTTATTTAATGCTGACATTATAATTATCAAATACATATTATAATACCTATAAGCTGAAAGGCTGATGCTAAATTAAGTTTGAATATTATACTATATAGGAAAAAACCTTTCAAATGTTAAAAAATTTCCAGTTATACCCTATAAAAATCCAATGGTTTAAAAATATTTGATTAAAAATGAAACATTCATCATAGAGCTAGATAAATTTAATACTTTATATTATAGATAAAAATACCCTGTATTGTGTTGGACAAAAATCCATGATTCATGCAGCTTTCCTGCCTGCTAACCACGATCAATACCCCCAATCAAAACCAATACCTGAGCTAATAACAATGCAATGAGTAACACTAATGCCAACATGGGACGAGGGACTCACTCCATGGCCTCTGGGAAGCAGAATGATTTCTGTTTTATAAGACTGCATTGGGAATCACAGGAATCTAAAGGTAATATATTTTTAGGATGCAAAAACAACATTTTTAAGAAAACCTATAATGACAGATCACCTTTCTCCAGCAACCCCGAAATGCTTCCACGCCTGTCTGCCTGTCTGCTGTCACACACATGCATGTGCAAGCTCCTGTGCATACAACATGTGTGTCTCCATGTCCAAAACGTCATCTCCACAGGAGCCAAGTCCAAGGTTCCCAGGCCAGCGGGCTCCCCGTTGCCCTGCCTTAGGGGCGACACCTACAACCTGGGGTCCACAGGGACCTGGCACCCTGACCATGAGCAGGGAGGGCTGACCTCATGATGGGGACCCTCAGAGGAATTCTCAGAGCTGAGGAGGTGACAGTTGAGCCACAGCAAATGGGCGGCTGGGAGTCTACTGGGTAAAAGAGCAGTTACTTGTTCTTGTTTTGTCTCAGTGATTCAAAGACTCAATGCAGTTGTAAGGAGAGTTCCCAGTGCCTGACGGGCTCTCTGAGACTCTGAACCCAGCCCCTTCATACCCAGGGGAGACCAAGGGTCAAAGGGCACAGACCCCTGCCCCTCCTGGCACACCCCAATCCTGATGGTCTCACAGACCTCTCCATTGGTGAAGTTTTTGTTTGGGAGCACACGTGTATTACTCTCAATTCAATTCCCTCTTCTTTCACAATTTTTATAGGATCTTGCCTTGGAGGGTGAGTATTGTTGTCGACTTTTTAATTCTTATTATTACATTTGTTATACAAAGAAAATGGAGCAGTTCTCACCCTGAGACTGCACTCTGGCCCCAAATGTTGTACTGCAATGGTCATTTGCTAGGTCTGTTTTGTTTGCAGGTAGAGCCACAAGCAGTTTAAGCCCAGACCCTGGCCGGCTTCCATCAGTGCAGAGGCCGCAGGGCTCTGCACACAGACTTCACAGAGGTCCCTGTGCTGGATGGAGGGTGGACATGGCCACGACGGCAACAGAGAGGACAGTGACCATCTGCCACTGCTGCCCCACAGGGCTAACAGGGTGGGATGCCCTCGCTGTGCTGTCCAGGGCCTCCTACCTTCTGCAACATGACCCGGGTCAAAGCTTAGCATGGTTGCCTGGCCCTTGGCACAAGGCTTCCGCTCTACTTGGCCTGCTGTGGGGACCCAGGATGAGGACAAAGCAGACCGGCACCTCCCGTCCATGGTGCTGTTCACCTGGATTTAAACAGAGCCTTCGGAAGCTGCTCTCCGCAGGGCCCCAGGGCTGAGAATTAGTTGGAAGCACCCTGGGAATCACAGCCCAACTGAGTGCCCTCAGGGATGCCTAAGAGAGCAGCTGGGGCCCAGGGTGGTAGGGAGTGCACACCACAGCAGACAGGCTCAGTTTTGAAAGCCAGCTATTGGGAGGCTGAGGTAGGATTGCCATGGGGGGAGGCCACACTGGCTACAGAGTTGGTTCAAGGACGGTGTGAACTACATAGCAAAATCCTGTCTCAAAAAACAAAAAGAAAGAAAAAAAAAGAAGAAAAAGAAAGCCAGGTGTCACCCCACTCACAGAGCATTTATGGAGCCAAAAGTACTGTCTTGGGCAAAGCTGAGACAAACTGGGTTCTACGCTGTGAGCTGATGAAGCCGCAGTCGGCCCATGGTGCTCCCTCAGAAAGAGACAGCGCTGTCTCCTGGGCCGCACAGAGCCTGCTGAGGGTGCTCATACGGGATCCTTGGGGGCCACCTGTTCAGTGACAGCATGTGGCAAAGGAGACCTGTGCCCAAGGGAGGAAAAGGTGGCACGGGATGGGTTTATATGTGAGATGTAAGACCCAGAAGACTGGCCTTCTCCTCCCAAGTGCTGACAGTGGCTTGATTTTGTCGCTGTGGCTCTGTGGTGTTTCTCACATGTTGATTTCTGAGGGCAGTGTGTACCAGGTGAGGTCAGGGCCTGACCCGGGGCGTCCTTGGGGTCTTACCTGGCTTCCTCAAGAACTTTCCCCATCACTTCTTTCTTCTCTTCCTGGCCAGTGTCTTCATTCACATCAGTGCCCCCAAAGATGACCCCGAAGGGAATCCCGTGACCTGCAACACGACGAGGTTAGGAAGCGGGCTCCGCAGGGAGCGGCAGGGCCGCTGGCTTCACCTCGTCCAGGTCCCGCAGGACGGTGGGTGTCGCCCTTATAAACTCGGCCCTGCACTTGACGCTGCGGGGACCTCTCACCAGGTGCCCGCTTACACTTTCCCAAAGCGCGCACAGACAGGGAGAGCCCACCCGGGAGGCACTCGGCTCGCCTTGCCCCTCAGAAGGTGGCAGTGCCCTGGTCCGGCGGGGTTATCTGCAGCCCATGGCCCTCGGAGTGGGGGCCACAAGGCCTCTCTGCTCCTGAGCCACCTCCGCAGAAGCCCAGCTCCTTTCGGATGGTCCTTCTCACGCTTTGCGCAGCTTCCCCTCTTCAGAGTTTGACTTTCCAAAAGCTGAAGCATAGGAATCAGGGGAGCTTGGTGCCCAGAAAAAGGAGTCAGGACAAAGGGACAGAGAGAAGCTGGCTGGGGCAGCGAGAGGGGCTCAGGCACTGGAGTCTGTGAGGATGAGAGTGGAGTCGGTTCTCTCCCAACTGGGGCTACTCCCCAGAGGTTTCCCTTCCCATGGCCCTAGGGAGAAGCAAATCCAACATCAGTGTCTGTGTTTCTCTGAAACCGAGGTCAGGAATGGTACCCGAGGCAAGCTGAGGTCCGAGGGAGAAAACAACAGGAAAAACCCAGCCATATGGCCTGAGGGAGGGAACAGGCCCAGACCCTCACTACCTTCCAGACAGACCGCGGTGAAGACTGCTCGGCACAGCGGGGCCTAATCCCAAAATCTGAAGTGTGAAAGGCTCCAAATTTGGAAACTGACACAGCCGCAGACAGAAAATGCCAGCCCTGACCTCACATGACAGGCGACCGGAAAAGGCAGGGGCACTGAGGATCCTCCAGGCTGTTACCTCAGGCCACATGTGTGAGCACCTGCACACGAGACCCAGGGGACCCGGGAGCCACCCTGAGCACTTCACCGTGTGCATGCGGGTACCCTAAAGCCACAAAAGCCTGGCCACAGCCACTCTGGTCCTGGTGTCTCAGCAAAGGGACCTCCCGTCTGTGCCCTCAGACACTTCAGAGTACAGCCGAGGGGGCCACCCCAGGGAGGAAGCCCATGACCGTGAACACTGACCCTCTGCCCGGCGGGGCCGGGGAGGACTTGGCACCTGCCCGGCTGGGGGAAGTCACTCTCCCCTTCGCTCACACTCGGACGAGCCTCAGGCTCCGGGCCCTACACACTTCCAAGGGAGCTCAGGACCCTACCTGCTGTTCTCCCTCAGAATACTCCTTCCTAAAACTTGGTCCTCTCTTCCAGAAAATGGTGAACTTGGATGGTTCAGCCCGCGTCATGGAGTATGAAGACATTCGCCACAATGGCTGGCGTGGGAAAGCAATGGCAACAAGATGGTGCTTCCAAGTAGCCGCTGTGAGTGAGGTGCTGGGTGTAGGGGCAATGATGGCAAGACACTGAGCTCTGCCCCACCTCCGAGCAGGACCGCAGTGTGGACACGCGAGGAGGAAGCCCTGCTTGCTCTCCCCCCGGTCTGTGCTCTCACACTGGTCCCTGCCGTGACCAGCAGGATGCTGTGGGCTCGCACCACGGCACTGGCTGGGGCAGGAGACGCAGTGGTTTCTGGTGTCCCCCTGCCCTGTCTTCCTCAGGGAAGCTGGCACCAAGTCTGTAGCTCAAGCAAGTGAGGAGAGGCCAGGTGGGGAGGAGCCAAGCCCCTGCCCGGGAGCCCTGGGAGTGAGCACATACCCAGCAGCCCTGCCGCTTTAGAACAAGCACCCCGCTATAGGTGTTAAGTTGGGGGTGACTGGCTGGGCAGGAGGAGGAAGACAGCAGACACAGAGCAGACTTCCGGTCACACAGTCGCCTCTGGGGGGATGAATGCGATGAAGCAGGGGGAGGCTCTGGTCCCCCACTGTGTCTTGTCCCCACTCCCTACCCTGCAGGGCATCTCGGTGTGTGCCTGTGCCACCTATGAATGTCAGAAAGGAGCAGGCTGGAGAAAGTGCTGGAGGTGAGGGAGTGGCCAGGGCCTCACCCTCCCAAGGCACAGGAAGCACAAGCAGTGGCGTGGACACAGCATCCTTCAGCCAGGTGACTGCTAAGGCTCCAGGAGTCACACATTTAGGACCAAAGTGTGATCCTAGCGTGATGACAACCGCAGGTGATCTTAATCCACAGTGACACGCCACCCCTACAATGTCACTGCACCACACACCCTTGCCATGTTGCCTCATTCGGGCCCACGGAAGCCCAGGCTGGCTTGAGCACGACAGTATCCGTCCTGCTTCCCCTGGCACGGAGGCAGCTGTGTCAGGGAGCCAGGCGGACCTCGGGAGCACAGGCATAAATAGCCCTGGCCCACGGCAGTCCAGGAGGAAAGAAGAGAAAATAAGGGCCTTGGCTCACCCTGTCCGAGGCAGGGTCAGGTCCCCGGGCTGAGGCCAGGTTGGGAGGGCGAGCCTCTCCTGAGCTCAGCTCTGCTGCTCCATAGGAGCTTGGGGCAGCCATGATGTCAGCAACTCTGGTCCGGAGAGACAGAAGGACAGAAGTCCGGACAGAAGGTTGAGCAGAGGGCTCGCTGCCCCAGCAAACTCTAGTCAGCTGCTCAGCTCACTGATCCCACCATGATACTCTTTACTAATCTACCTAAAGCTTGCAGGTCTTAGCAGTTTCTTCAACCATGAATACAGTGAATAAAAAAACCTTTCACACATGTTAACTCAGGATCATGAACTTTCATACAGCAAAACCAGTTCCTGTTTCTACCCAGTCTGGAATGTTACAACATTTTAGAAAACTGCCCAGTAGAAATTGTTCAGTTATTGCCAGGCTTGGTGGCTCAGACCTGTAATTCCAGCACTCATGAGGCTGAGGCAGGAGGATTGCCACATTCAGGGCCAGCCTGGGCTACATAGTGAGACCCTGTCTCCAAGACCCCTTGGTGAGTGGCTGAACAAGGTGAAGACAGACAGTGCTCCCCGAGCACTCCCTCCGCAGGTGGTTACCTTGCAGGAGCCGGCCACCCCTGTATAGGTGCAGAGCCAAGGCCGCCTCAAAGTGCTGCTCCGCCAGGAGGTCCGTGACATCCACGGGGCTCTGGAAGTCAGAGGCATCTCTCAGATTGCAGTGGTGTCCCGCAGCCTCCAGGTGGTCCCTGCACCACAAATGGGGGACAGAAAGGATGGGGTCGCTCTCAGGCCACCGTGCTCACTGAGATCCACTTGTCACACTTACTCTCGGGAAGAAAGCGCGAATCAGCGGCAGTCACCTTTGCACCCGCATTGGCTCAGACAAGGCTCCAGCCAGGCCAAGAGCATGGGCCAGGGCTGGTCCCACCGGGACACCCCTTTGGCAGGGGTCTGTGCTCCCCAAAAGCCCCTCCCAGCTCCCTGGATTCCACCGGCACATCTTCCCACCTCTCCTCATGGTGGAAGGTGCCGGGAGTTTAACTTCAAACCTCTGCTACCCATTTCTTAGGAGGGACTTCAAGTCACCTGTCACTGTGGCTTCAAAATGCATTGCGTGGCTTTCTGCTCCACCCTCCAAAACAATCTGCTTTAAATATGTCTCTTTCTCGCCACTTTAGTTCTGCTTTTGGTAATATATTTGTAAGCCTAAAATACAAAACTGGTTGGCAAAAAAATTTATTCTTTTCTTTTTTTTCAGACAAGGTTTCACTATGTAGCTCAGGCTGGCTTTGAACTCACTGTGAAGCCCAGGCTGGCCTTGAATGGTAGCAATCCTCCTGCTTCAGCCTCCAGAGGATTACAGGTGTGCACCACCACATCTGGTTAAAAAGAACTATTCTGAGTGGATCAATAGCATTGATACAATTTTTTTTTAGATGAGAAATTGGAGAAGGAACTACTCACCATCCATACAGAGGGAAGTAAAAAGTTAACATGATTAATATATAAAGAGCTTTTATGAATTGATAAAAAGCAAACTAATTGAAAAAATATAGGTAGGCATAAATTTGCAGTAAGAAATGCAACTGGGCTTTTACAACACAAGAAATGGTGCCCAGCTTCAGCCACCTTTTAAAATAAATGTCTGTAAAAATCAAAAAGTCTGCCTAAGGTTTCATGAAATAAACTCTCCTACATATTATTTATAAGGCTATAAATCAGCGCAGTCTATGTGTTAGGTAAGACAACAGCAACTGGCAAATTTAAAATGCACAGACTGACCAGGCATGCTGGTGTACTCCTGCAACCCCAGCATCCTGGGAGGCTGAGACAGGAGGATTGTTCGTTTGAGCCCAGCTTGGGCAACTTAGTGACTAAAACCTAGAGAAGCTCAGTGTGAAGGCTCCGTGTTCAATCCCCAGGACAACAATAGATACATATATACCTAAAATTAAAATTAAGTAACAAAACGCATAAACCCTCTGACCAAATAACTCCACATCTAGAGATTCACTCCAGAGATATCCATGGTTATATGTGCAAAAGCAGGCACCAGGAGCAGGTCCTGTGCACTGGGTTTAAAAGAGCAAAATGAGAAAAAGCCACCTCAAGGTGCATCTGTAGGCACTGGCTGTGGCTGCATCTGGCTCTTCTGAGACTGAAAGAGTGAAGTGGGTGGCTCCGATGCAATCATTAGAATTGGCTCTGGGACACACGGTTGTGAAGAGAGCAATGCACCATAGCTTATATAGATACGATGTGTGCACAGGGTATTGGTGTAGATACGACGTGTACACAGGGTACTGTGCAGAGACAATATGTGCACGGGGTATTCAAGTAGACACAACGTGTGTGCACACAGTATCTGTAGACCACTGAATGGGAGGGAGGCTGTCTTCTCACCACACAGCACTTTGTGTATTATTTCCCACGTGCATCCATTATGGCTTATGATTGAGGCCTGTGCATCTGTACACATGGAACCAGCCTTATCCCACTGCCATTGCCACCACTCATAGCTCCACCGTGCCCTCCCACATGCTGCCTCGGTGCCTCCATGCCCATTCCTCCGCACTGTGGCCCCGTGGTGCTCCCCGCACCTCTGTTGTGCTCCATGCCTGTCCCTGTCTCGACCATTGTGTTCTGCTGTGCCTGACGGATCACACGCTGTGGCTGGGCTACAAAATTGGCATATGGGTGATGACCGTGTACACTTTCAATCACCTTGAAAATCTCTAAATTGTCCACACAGCATGAAATTCAAGACCAACATAACTTTTTTCCGGCAATGAAATCATTACTTCCTCAGCAGAATGATAGATGGGCTAGGCAGCTTGCATTCAGAGACAAGACTGCACCAATCACAAGGCATGACTAGAAAGGAGAGGAGTGTGTGGAAGGGCAGGGCGGATAGGAGAGGGAGGAGGAGGAGGAATGGGGGGGGAGGCGGGAGTCGATCTGAATCTTCAAGACCGTGACCACGACACTTCAGGACCAGAGCAGAGCCTGAACTGTGAGGTATTAAGAGGATGGAAACAACCTACAGAGTCAGTGTCAGAGAGCGGCCTTGGGGTAGGTTAGGTTGAGACTGTGTTGGAGCCCCGGTGGAGTACTGGTGGCTCTGTGAGAAAAGGGAGAGACTGGAACACACACACACACACACACACACACACGTGCACACACATATACACACACACTCTGTCTCTTGCCATTTCCCAAGTGATGCCCTGCCCTGCAAAATCCTGAGACTTTACCAGCAAGGTTTCCACCCAGCATGGGCCCCCAGCCTTGACCTTCCACAACTGAGAACTAAAGAAACTCATTGCATTTACAAAGTTCCCCAGCCTTGGGTATTTCATGACTGTAACAGAGTGTAGGTCACAACATGACCACATTACTTGTGTGGGGTCCCCATACAGGAGACCTAAGGCCTTGGGGGGGGCAAAATTAGATTTTAGCCCTTCAGCTGGCATCTACGTGGGGGAGGCAGGGGATTCGGCCTGGCACTGATACACAAATGGCAGTGCTTCTTTCCGTTTCCTTTTGGAATGCAAATCAGATAAGTGTCCAGCAGCACTATGTTAATGAAGAAGTCAGGGTGCTAGACTGGCGCTGGCTCTTCCTGGATGCACCCCAAGGTGCACACGGCCTCACCACCCTCACTGCCAGGTCCTGTCCCTCACTGCCGGGCAGGAACCCAGCCACTTGCCTGGTTCAGGTCTTCCCGGGCCACCGATGGTCCGCAGCAGCCAGGAGCCCCAAGGCCCCGTCAGTGCTCCCTTCAGCCTAAAGGTCACGTCACGCTGCACACTGCACATGCACCACACTTCTGGGCAGAGCTGAGAAACCTCTATTCCATCCTCCTACCACACTAAGGTGGCAGAAGCCAAGCAAATGCACAGAAAAATGGGAAAGCTTTGCGTTCCACTTGGGGGATCTGTTCCTGGTGGTCTATGGCTTCTGCAGACTTGGTGCAGAGATCGGGAAGGAGGTGCTGCAGTGACAATGGGAGCCACAATAACTGGCTGCTCTTGGGCCATGAAACCTGTTTTAGGCAGAAGTGAGACACTAACGATCTCATAAGTATTCAAAATAAAAAGCTTTAATCAATTCTCAGTGGACTAAGATCTCCCCTCATGTCCAGCCCACTTGTAACACTCAACATGGTTCTGTCATGAGTCCTTCTCTCAGGCAGTAACTGAACTAATAAACTCATGGAGTACCTATCGTGCCCAGGAAATTCAGGATGTTGTTCCTACTGAAAGCTTTTTGGAGAATGAAAACATCCGCAAAAAGGGAAAAAAAAACCTTGATAGCTTACTGGTTGGTCCCAGGAGGAGACGAAACCACCTGCACAGCCCTGATGGAGATTCAGCAGCACTGAGCTGCATCCCAGCCCACTGGCCTCGGACCTGCAGGCCCAGATGTCCTCAGCCAACTCTGTCCTGCTTGGCAGAGTGCTCAGAAATGACAAGCAAACCAATGGGGCAGGGACACCGACTGCATCCCTTCCCCAGCCCTGTGCCCGGCAGGGTCCTGGGATGGGAGCTGGGAGTGCAGCATCCTCAGTGCTGCCCCGGGCCGTGGTCCACCAGTAAAAGCCTGGCAGGACGGGTACTTCTCCCGGCACCCTACCACTGCCCACCAAGAGAGCGCGCTCAGACCTGGCCTTCCGCTGGTCTGAATGGTGTAAAAAGACACTGCTAGGAAGATGTGCTGCTCTGGCCATGGAAGGAAAGTCCTGTGTGAAGCCCCATGTCACCCTTCTGCACCCTCAGAGACCTCAGCAACACGGCTGTCACCTGTGAACGTGCTGTGCAGACATAGATTGTGAGGTGCTCAGTGAGACCCCCGCTCCTGGAGGTGACAGTAATGAAATCTTTTTAAAGAGATGCAAAAATACAGTGCTCCAGCGTGCAAAGTGACTGCTTCAGCAGTGTCCACTGAGATTGGGAAGCCACAGGTCACCAGAGCTGGGGAGGAAGATGGGCTGCCAGTGTCAGCCACAAGTGGCCACATCCAAATAGAAGTGCCCGGAGCAACACACACACACAATTCAATTAGTACATGCAAATTATGATAGGTAATTGTACACATGAATGTATGTTTACACCTGATTTCATCTTGATTGAAGTTATCGAGATTTCTGCATTAGAGAAAACACGTTCGTTATTAAGACTAATTGGTCTGTCCCCCTTACATCCACGAAGGTTAGCAGGAGCCCTGAGATGGCCTAGGTGGCTGGAGTCATGTTTCCGTGGGATGGCAGAAGGTGAGAGCCTGCTCAGCTCTGGGCTGGAGGTCAGCACAGGGCCTGCTGCTCTATTAGAGAAAATCAAACTGCCAGACATGTTGCGGGGTGACGGGTGCAGTTCAGTGGTGGAGCATAAACTTAGCAAGTGGAGAGGTCCCTGGGCTCAATCCCCGGCATGAAAAGTGGAAAAAGAGAGAGAGAGAGAGAGAGAGAGAGAGAGAGAGACAGAGACAGAGACAGAGACAGAGACAGAGACAGAGACAGAGACAGAGACAGAGACGAAGACTGCTTGCATCCACAAGCTCCCCTCCTGATCCTTCAGAGGAAGGACAAAGTGGTCGCTGACCTCCAGCCGCTCGCCACATGGCCCCTCCAGTTCTGGACTGGACAAGCCTGTGGGCAGAGTGACACTGCCAGTCCCCCTCCCGGCAGTCATTCCTCTGGGGCTCACCTTGGCCTTTGGTCCTCCTCCTGCTGACTGTATCCTTCCAA